TGCCCAATAATATTAAGATCATTATCATAGACAATAATTATCACAACTCCATCATGTGATTTCTTTATAAAGACATCAGACATATTTGATCATTTAAGTATCCCCTTTTTAGTAATTGTTCACTCAAATAATTATACCACATACTGCCCAGGTTGTTTCAAGCCATATAAATGATCTTTGCAGCTTTATCGCACATAACTCTTTAGGTTTGTAATTTAGTGCTTCAGGAATTCTGATTCCTTCTGGAATTTTCATGTATATATCGGTGTTTAACGATCTACACAAGTAAGCAGTCACAACATCCATGACGCATCTCAAGATATTCATGGATAGCTAATCTGATCAAGTATCTAAAAGTAATTGCACCATGAAAGTGGAATACGTTTCATCATAATTGATCCCAATCCTTTGGGAGAATCGTCGTGCTATACAAGGAAAACTTTATATCTCATGATCTCATTTTTTTTTTTTTTGGGATGAAAATGCATTTGTATCCAATAGTTTTATACCTTTTGGTATAATGGAAATAGGCCCAAAAACTTTTGAAAAGTCTTTAATTATTTGTATTAGTATTATAGTAACTAAACAAGGGTAAGAATGATGTTCTACGTCATGAAAATGTAAGAATGGGCAAGGAGAAAGCATATAGCTCCCATTCAATCCGTAAATCAAACAAGTGGTAAAATTAATTAATGTCATATATCAGTTGAAGCTGGCTAATGAAAAATATAAACATATAAAAGATGAACATTTATTTTAACTAGAGCTTTTAAGTACATAAAAAATATATATTTTTGGTATTAAAATGTGGTATGTCAGTCTTAACTTTTTTGGTTAAAAATTTAATTATTGTCTACCATTAACATTTTCAATACTGAAATAATTAATAATTATTTATTTGTTACATTTTTTATATGTAATATATTAGTTCTCATAAATAAAGATCCGATATTATTAAGAATTTTGAATAATTTAAAAAAAAAACTTTTAATACATAAAGTAAATTTTAGTAATAACTTCGTAATAATAAAGTTCACAGAGCGACTAAGAGTATTATAATATAATAGAATTCTAATTATTTTCTTTTCATTTTAACAAATGATATGCTTCTTAATACTGTCTCATTGTTTTGTTTTGTCTTTTGTTTTTTGTTTTTTTTTTCTTTTCGTTTTTGTCCAAGAAAGGATCTTTGATGGGTTTCCTACTAGATCTTGAGTGAACCGGTGGTTATGAGCTCCGATTTGTTTGAACCGCCGTAAATACCTGCAAGAACTCAATGCCGGAAGTGTTTTCGGCGTAGAGCCTCCGACGCTCAAGTCAGTATGAAAGAGATGAAGAGAGCTCTGCTCAGTGGGAGTAGCAGCAACATGGAATGAATAGAGAGTGAAAGTTAGGGTTTGGAATTACCTTTATTCCTTTATATAGAAGAAATTACCTACTTGAAATACCTGAAATGCCCTGGTCTACCGGTATGTTTACCTGGTATATCGATGTCCTAATCACCCCTTAGTCAGAACCGAGTCAGCTTAAGATTCCATCTTATCCAATAAAGATCCATCTTATGAAGTCAGTCTGGGTGTCCCCCAAGTATCCAGAATCGTCATCTGACACAGACCTCAAGGAACGGTATGTCGACCTCGTGATGCCTGAAGTCGACCTGGAGTTCATTCATGGAAACAGATTAGGAGGCTTTGCCGCATGTTGACCATCTCATTGGGAGTCGTCTCTAAGATAATCATCCTTGATTCAGGTGACATGAAGGAGTCGAATTTAGAAAGTCGACTCTTCCTTCCACATGTGGCTACACAGGAAAAAAAAGTTTTTTCGTCCTTTATCTGCAGGCCATTTTCATTTTGGTCCCGCTAATGGACTGTTTTTGGAAATAGTCCCCTAATTGAAAAAAAATTAGTTTTTTGGTCCTCTGACCACCTACTGCAGGTCGAGGTTACCGGATGAGCCTACGTGTCCTTTAACCCGCCCACGTGTCTTTTAACCCGCCTGCGTGTCATTTAACCCGCACACGTGTAATTAAAATATAGAATAAAAAATGGCATAAAAAACAGAAATAAAAAACGGGATCCAAATCACTTTACAAACAGTTCAATCGACTAAATTTTCTCCCAAAACACAAACCCTAACTAAGACAAATCAGTACCCAAAAAACGTGAAATTGTGGGAGCATATATGAATCGGGCTCGATGAAGTTTAGATCGCCGTCTGCGTTCGATGATCCTCCTCCGAAATATGGTAAGTTTGGCTTTCAATTGTATTATTAACGCGAATTGGGAGTTGAAATTTTCGATTAATATAGTTGTTTGAGCTAAAATTTTCGATTAATATAGTTGTTTGTGGGTTTATTGAATTAGAGTCCTGAATATGGGTAATGTTGGTTGTTGGTTTCGAAAAATGTTGTATTTTTTAAAGAAATCTATTGTTTGCTTTTGTTTGTGCAACAATTAAAGTTGTGAATAATTGAGTTGGTTGTTGGTACGAACCAAAGCTTTTATTTTTTAAAGAAAATTGTTGTTTGTTTGTTTGTGCAACAATGGGGGCATGTGCAGAACCTTTGAACTTTTTTGTCTTTAATATAGAGAATTATTTTAAGTGCATTGTGGTGTTCTATTGTTTAATAGTGTTGTTTTTAAATGTTTGGCAGATGTAAAAAGCACACATTACACATTATGTGTTTACTTTGGAGGTCATCTTCATATGCAAGGGGGACCACATTACATAGGTGGGACAGCTTATAAATTTGACTGGGTGTAAATAGGGTGTACATCATT